TGGTTTGAAAGAGTGGAAGTGGGAAATCTACAGTTATTGGTTTGATTGAGAGGTTTTACGACCCGCACGCCGGCGAAGTTCTAATAGATGGCGTTAACCTCAAAGAGTTCCAGCTCAAATGGATTAGACAGAAAATAGGCCTGGTCAGCCAAGAACCTGTATTGTTTGCTTGTAGCATTAAAGATAATATTGCCTATGGGAAGGATGGTGCAACTAGTGAAGAAATCAAAACTGCTGCTGAACTTGCCAATGCTGCCAAGTTCATAGATAAACTTCCTCAGGTTTAAATAGAGATGCAATTAAAATTTGTTTTCTTTTATTTGGAATTTTTATTCCAAGAAAGCTTTTAAGTTAATATAATACAGTAGAACCATTGTGTGTTGCTTTCAGACTTAACAAGACAACAAACCTGGGTGCTTAGAGTGATTTATCATTGTTAACTAACAAGAGTAGATGTTTTCAGGGACTTGACACGATGGCTGGGGAGAATGGCACTCAGCTCTCTGGCGGCCAAAAACAGAGAATTGCTATTGCTAGAGCAATTCTAAAAGATCCAAGAATACTCCTTCTAGATGAAGCCACAAGTGCTCTTGATACAGAATCTGAAAGAATTGTGCAAGAGGCATTAGACAGGATTATGATCAACCGAACCACAGTTGTTGTAGCTCATCGCTTGAGTACAGTAAGGAATGCTGATGCAATTGCCGTTCTTCACCATGGGAAAATTGTTGAAAAAGGTACTGCGTCTGCTCACATTGCTCTCTCTTAATTGGTTACCAAATTTGATTAATGTATAATGTAGTGGAAAACAAATTGTTCTTGATTATTTCACTTTGTTGATTAATAAGTATTCCTTATTTTAGAATGACAAAAAAGTGTTCCCCTCCCTCTCTGTCTCTCACACTCATAGATTACTGCATCCTGATTCACATTAACTGACCAGGTTCCCACAATGAGCTGACCAAAGATCCTGAGGGAGCATATTATCAGCTTATAAGATTGCAGGAAATGAGGACGGCCAAAAATAATGATGTTCTAAATAATCCAGATGGGCCAGAAAGCTTAGCAGATTCTGATAGACATTTAAGTAAACGCTCATCTTTCCAACGATCGACAAGTCGAGGCTCATCCTTTGGACACAGTAGTCGTCACTCATTCTCAGCTGCATTTGGTGTGCCCACTGGAATTGATCTTCCAGATAGAGCAACAGCAGAACCCTATTTTCTTGATTCAGAGCCATCCGAACCACTTCCAGAAGTCCCACTTTTTCGCCTAGCCTATCTTAACAAACCAGAGATCCCAGTGTTAGTGCTAGCTGCATTGGCTGCAATAGTGGCTGGTGCAATATTACCTGTTTTCGGAATACTGGTCTCTTCTATGATCAAAACATTTTTTGAGCCACCAAATGAACTCAAAAAGCATTCAGCATTTTGGGCAATAATGTTCGTTGGTGTCGGCGTGTTATCTTTATTTATCCAGTCCGTAAAGCACTATCTTTTTGCAGTGGCTGGTTGTAAATTGATAAAAAGGATTCGATCAATGTGCTTTGAGAAAGTGATTTATATGGAAGTAGGCTGGTTTGATCAACCTGAACATTCAAGTGGTGCAATTGGTGCAAGACTTTCCGCAGATGCAGCTATGGTGAAAGGTCTGGTTGGAGACGCACTTGGAATGCTAGTTCAAAGTCTTGGAACTGCAGTTGTTGCTTTGCTTATCGCCTTTCAAGCATCTTGGCAACTGGCTTTCATCATGCTTGCCTTGCTACCTCTTCTAGGAATTAACGGATTTATTCAGCAAAAATTCTTAAAAGGTTTCAGCGCAGATGCAAAGGTTAGTCAATCTGTAAGATTATTCGACATATCATGCAAATAGACACGCAATATCAGTAATTAAATTTAGATGGTTACAGAAAATGTACGAGGAAGCAAGTCAAGTTGCAAATGATGCAGTACGGAATATTAGAACTGTTGCATCTTTCTGTTCTGAAGCGAAAGTGACCGCACTATACCAACAGGCTTGTAAAGGTCCCTTGAAGACAGGCATGAGGCAAGGGTTGGTAAGCGGGATAGGATTTGGACTATCTTTCTTCTTGCTCTACTCAGTCTATGCTACCTGTTTCTATGCTGGATCCCGTCTTGTCAGTGCTGGCAACACAACATTTTCTGAAGTTTTTCGCGTAAGTCTCTTCTCTGCCGTAACAGGATTTACAAGGTTCCATTTCCAACATTCACTAAATGAGCACATGAGAATAAAAATGATTCCTTAAAGTTACCAATTATAAACTATCTACTTCTTGTTGGTTTGCAGGTATTTTTTGCTCTCACTATGGCATCATATGGGATTTCTCAAACAAGTTCCCTCGGTCCTGATATCATGAAAGCAAAGGCTGCTGCAGCTTCTGTATTTGCAATTCTAGACCGAAACTCAAAAATAGACTCTACTGATGATTCTGGGACAGCAATAGAAAATTTTAAAGGAGATATTGAGTTTCATCATGTCAGTTTCAAATACCCCACAAGACCTGATATCCAAATTTTCAGAGATCTATGCTTAAAAATTCGTTCTGGCAAGGTAACTCTCCATGTCAGTTTCCTTCAATGTTTTTTAGTGCAGTCATTTCTAGACCAAGCGTGCGCTGTTAAGACTAGAACAAGAAGTACACATGGTACCATAATATCTTCTGTATCTAATTGTATAAATTTCATTTTTCAGACAGTTGCTCTAGTTGGAGAAAGTGGCAGTGGGAAATCAACAGTGATCTCATTGTTGCAGAGATTTTATGATCCTGATTCAGGTTACATAACGTTGGACGGAGTTGAAATCCAAGAGCTACAAATCAAGTGGTTAAGACAGCGAATGGGCCTAGTCAGCCAGGAGCCTTTGTTATTTAACGACACTATCCGAGCCAACATTGCATATGGAAAGGAAGGAATCGCAACGGAGGCAGAGATTTTAGCTGCGTCAGAATTGGCAAATGCCAACAAGTTCATCAGTAGCTTACAAAAGGTTCGTAAGCAGACTTGTCATAATAAGCTTTTGTCAGCATTTTTAAAGCTGCTAATTGGTTTGGCTGCATTTCTAAGGAAAGATTAGTTCAAATTACTTACTATATGATGTCAACTGGAATAATAACAATCATGATCATAATTGCTTGTGGGAGTGATTGTTTTCGGAAAATATTGCGCAGGGTTATGATACAGTTGTAGGCGACCGAGGCACCCAATTATCAGGTGGACAGAAGCAACGAGTGGCAATAGCACGTGCGATCATAAAGGCTCCGAAAATATTACTGCTAGATGAAGCTACCAGTGCTCTGGATGCAGAATCTGAACGAGTAGTTCAAGATGCATTGGAAAAAGTTATGGTGAATAGAACCACTGTGATAGTAGCCCATCGGCTATCCACGATCAAGAATGCTGATGTTATAGCAGTGGTTAAGAATGGTGTGATTGCAGAGAAGGGAAAGCATGACACTTTGATGAATATCAAGGATGGTGTCTACGCTTCCTTGGTATCATTGCATACTAGTGCTTCATCGTCCTGAATCAAACATTGGAGGCCTCTGTATCATACATGCGTGCATGGTTTGGAAGCAGTACTATTTTCTGCTGGGTATGATGAGAGTAAAGGATTCGATCTATGTATAAATATCATCTTGGCTTTAGTAGGTAAATTCTCCATGCTGATAAAGAATAATAATATAAATTATATATGAAACTTATCTGCTATCAAGTTTTAAGTTTTTTGAATTTGATTATATTATTTTGTATTTAAATTTTATTAAATAAATAAAAATAATGAAATTTAAACTTAAAATTACTTAGTTATTAGAACTTTAATACTATGTCAAAAAATCAATTCAACTAAAAAATTTAAATTAATAAATAAAATTTCAGAATAGAATTTATATTATTTTTTAAGATAATATCTCTTTCCACCCTAAATTTAAAAAATAATTATATATATTATTGTGTTTAATATCCATTGATTTCTTCAAGTCAAGAGACCACGGATTCATGAATGACAAGGTAGTGGCAAAGATAGAAGAAACAGAATTCTACGAATTGCTCTCTCATTTGAGATTCATATTTTCTAAAAACTCTTTTTTTTTGTTTCTTTCGTTTCTCTAATCACCAAAGTGCATGGAATGGAAGCATCAATTAAAAAAAAAAAACTCTAAAGTATTATAACAACTTTAAGCTTCTACGAATAATTTTTTTTTCTTAGAAAACAAACCCAACACTTTCTTGTTTCTATATTACATCATCTGTGTACCTAATCATTGCCAAAAGAAAACATTTTCTTTCTTGTCTTTCCCTTTTAGAGGAAGATAGCAAAACATCAGCATGATCCTATGGTGCTGTTTTTATGTCATTAACAATTTAAATAGGAGATTAGTTTGATAATGTTATTTCTTTGTTTGTTTTTTTTTTGTTTTTTCTTAGAGGAACACTTTTTAATTAAGTTTTTATTGCCTTTTCATGTTTCAATCCCTTTCTTTCCTTTTTCAATCTCTCTCCCATGTTCTTTATCATACCCACTGAGTTTTTCCCCTCAAGAATTTTGTGAGGTTATTAAGCGAAGCCTTCATCGTTCTTAGCTCTACTAAGTGACAACAAGTCCCCTTCTCTCTCTCTCTCTCTCTCTCTCTCTCTCTCTCTCTCCCCCCTCTCTCTCTCTCTCTCTCTCTCTCTCTCTCTCTCTCTCTCTCTCTCACCTTTGGGAGTTTTTAGCTTTTTTCTGGGGCTAATTACCTTTGCCACCCTCTATTTTGAGTGTGAGTATGCCTTGCATGCTGTGTTTTGAAAACGTTGCACTTCTCAACTCTTTTTTTTTTGGTTGATTGCACTTTTAACTATTCATTAAAAATATTAGATGATTATTAGAAATTAAGTTGTATTTTTGGTCAAATTGTTATAAAATAATCAAATAACCCTTAAAAAGATAATGAATGCCTAAAATAGACAAGAAAATAATGTCTATTTTTGTTAAAAATATGAAGTTTGAAAAATCATTCATTTCACTCGATCCCATTTAATTTCGGTACGAGTAGGAAGGAACTGTCACGACCCGAATCCCGGATCCATGACCGGCACATAGGCAAGGTTCCCCTCCAAGGTTCCATACCTATGCAAACCCAAACTTACACACAAATTTATCCTAACTCAATCTTTCCTTCAAAATGCATGGATTACAACCAAAAGAGCAGGTTCTGAAGGTCCAATAAAAGTGACCTGCTATCAAGCTATAAGCCTGAAAATGATAAATAATGAGAGTGTGAGTTCAACGACTCAGTGAGTAGATAACGTTTAATATACACACACACACGAGATAATACAATAATGAGAAATATATATACAAGTATGAATTTAGGTTCTTATAAAAGGTTTCTCAAATAGGTTATAACAAGAATATCATATGGTAAAATCGTCAGAAAATCAAAATGCAATGAGCATGAGGCTCCGTACTGTGGGATGATCAGTCCACACAGGTTGGTGACTCCCCCGACCAACTAGGGTTCAGATACGATGTGCACAAAGACTAACACTACCCTGTTAGCATGGGTATTCTGACTGACATACCATAGGGTTATAATCATAATCAAACAGACATATTAATATCTCAAGGCTCAACTCATGACATCAATCAAATGAGGAGCTATCAATTCAGAAGTCAATCCAAAATGCATACTGGATCATATCAAGAATTCGGATTCAACAAATGATCATGTTTATCATAACAAGGATAATAATCAACATATATATTATCAAGAAGCATGATCCAATTCATATTAACAAATCAAATATTTATAATATTCTCATGCATATGGAAAATTATCCACTCACCGGACTCGAAAGCAAACAGAAATCAAAAGCAGACACCGAAGAAAATCCTACTGACGTCCTGCTGGTAGAATATCAGGATTATCTGAATACAAAGGAGACATATTCAAGAATGACTCAACAAAAATATATAACCTATTTAATACACTTATTTAAGGATATATTCCATAACCCTATATATTTTTGAACTAATTAGTTATATTCCAAAAATTAACGATTTTCTCAAAATCTAATTCATAATAAAACAAATAATAAAATTGGTAATACTTCACTAACTAACCCTCAATTATTCATCAAACACATATGCAAAAGCTAATATTACAGCTAGGGACTAATCTGTAATTTATTATATTTTTAAGGGTCAAATTGTAACTTAATCCATTTGAAGGACCAAACTAAACTTATCATAAATCCATGAATATACTGAAATTCTGACCATAATCAATCCTCATTTCTGTCCAGATCATCTCATTATACTCCAGGGACCATTCTGGAATTTTATCAAATTTTTAGGGTTAAATGGTAATTTTTGTCAAATTGAAGGACCAAATTGAAAGTGTTAAAATTTCATAACTATACAGGAATTCTGCCCATAATTTATCTTTTATTCTGTTCAGAATCTCGGAATATGCCTCAGGGACCAATCTGTAAATTTTTCAAAGTTTGGGGACTAAACTGTAATTTCCACAAATTGAAGGACCAAAATGAATTTTCGTCATCTTCAACCTCCAACCCAGAATTTCAACAGAAACCCACTGTTCTTTCCTTATTTCTAACATAATTTCACCATTCAAACAAAATCATAACTCAAAATCATCATCTTTCAATTCAATCTCTCAAAATCCACCAAATAATCCATTACCCATAACAATCAACCCATAAAATTCAATTAATTCATCAATCAAACCCAAAACACAAATTTTCAAAACCCTAACATTTATCAAAACCAAAATTAAAACTTAATCAACATATATTTATATATAATCTTACCTTTAAACTTATTTCCTTCAACTCCTTTCTATTTTTCTTTTAATTTCTCTCTTTTCTCTTTTTCTTCTTTCTCCCTTCTCTCTCCTGCCGATTCTCTCTCAACTTTCAGATTTTTTTTTTTTTTTTTACTTTTTATTTATATTTATCAAGTTTTGTTGAATTACTACACTACCCCTCATTCATTTATACCTATATTTTAAGCCACCAAGAGCTTTATTATATTTTCCTACTTATTTATTCAAAACATTACAGGAATAATTAAGCATGCCCTTTCTTATTATAACTGAGATGTATGTATATATACACACACTTCTCTATAAAATCGGAATATTATATAACAAAAAGCAAATAAATCAAAGCTGGCACATTAACATCTGAAAATACCGTTTCAACAACCGCTGGCTGTCTTTTGTACTTCACATTTTGCGTATCTTTGTCAAAGGGAGACGACAATAGAGGGCAAAAATCTTACAAGATACAGGTGATCAAGTACATGAGTTTTCTTGTAAAGTGACCAAAGACATGAGTTTTACACGCCCATGTAATCTCTATCTTAATTTCAAAATCCCAACTTCAGTTTTGAAGGCATGACAAGGTCATCCGCTAATTTGCGGGTCGGATATAAATAATCTTTTGAATGCAATAAAAAATTTACAGGTCGTGTAAGGGTTATCTTATCCGGTTGATTTGACCAATCAAAAATCAACTCAAATTACTAATAAAAAGATCTAAAAATGAAATTTAGAAAAAAATAACGAAATTAAACAAAAAAAAAAACTATTAACCCCATTCATTGTCTATCATGAATATAAAATTACATTATACAAGAGTTTTTTTTTATATGATTCAGTTGACGTAGTTAACAAAACAACAACTGAGAAGTAAAAGTATTTTTGGGATAAAATTAAAAAAAAGAGAGGAGTGAAACGAGTGGGGAGCTTGAAGTCAAGAAAAGGAGTGAAACGAGTGGGGAGCTTGAAGTCTTCAACAATGAAGCAGCTTTCAGCTAACAGGTTAATTGTACTCACAAACTCTCTAAACGTAAGTTGAAAAGGGAAATTAATTAACTAACTTACAAAAAGTAGGGCGAAATAATGTCCAAGAACAAGAACTAGATGATATATCATAGCCTTGGACACGTCTTTGGAGTAACAGAAGATGGATGATTCATTTGCTCCTTTCCCCGACCTCCCAACCACTACTACTTATTTTGGATTTGTTTTAAGAATCTGACCATAATTAATTAAGATTTGTGCTTGTTTGTTGTCATTAATTAGGAAGTGATCTTGACTGGATTTCACTCCTAGATAATGTCATCACAAAGGATCATGACTGCTTGTGTTGCCTAATTGTGAAGGGACAACGCGATTCTCACTTGATGATGCGTGATCCCATCCATTAATTAATTATCTCAACATTAGCGTCGTGAGAGATTAAGAGAGATGAAATAACCCTAAGGCTTTGTTTAATAACCTGAGATTCTAATACCATACCAAAACATTATCTCAATTCAAAATATTAAGCTATTAAATAAAATTTTAAAATATTATTTATATTATTTTTTGACAGATATAACCGCAATCACTCCTTGTTCCACACAAGCACTAAATCACAACCACAAAGGCACTTGTATATTTGTGTGTGTAGACACTTACTGCTACTCTTATCATTTGATGCGAAGTTGCAACTAACAAAGAGAAACGTTTACCCTTCTCATATTTCATTTTCAAATCACCAAGAAGCTAGTGTTACTTCAAAGGAAATCTTCTACCTTTCCTCTGATCTTGCTGAATATTATTGCTCATTTTATCAACAGCT